CTATTCCTAAATTTTCATTTTCTGTTATTATACATCTTTCATCTTGTAAATTAAGTATTATATGGCTATTAATTCCTTTTTTAAAACATGATTTTATTATTATTTGCACTCCAGCAAGGTAGACATAAAATATTTTACTTTTCTTTTCTTGTTTTAATTTTCCTAGAAATTCATAAACATTTCTTTTTGTTATTAGATTTAATTTTATATTTCCTTGTGTATGTTTAATATCTATGACTTTTTCTATTTCATGATATTCATTAACAACTAACTTTTTTCTTCTAAAGGTTGTTCCTAAAATATTAAATAATCGATTTTCTCCAAGTGGTTTAAGATTTAATTCGGTTTTATTAATTTTTTAAAATTTTTCCCAATCAAATTTTCTTTTTAAAGCATATCCTTATACTCTTTCGTATATTTTAGTTTCTAAAGCCTCAGAATTTTCATGATCTCTAGGGCTCTGATACCATTTTGGTTTCAGGTTCAAGAAAACAAAAATACAATTTCAATTATCAAATTCTAAACAAGACTCTTATCAAATTCTTGGGCTTAATAGATGAAAAGAGTTGATGATGAAGAAAAATTAAATTTTAATTCCAAAGGGAAAGCAATTTGTCGAATTTATATAAGACCAAAATTTTAGGGATTAAAATGAAATCCATTATATCTTAGAATGACTTGTTAGAAATTTTTTTATCTTGATGGTATTTTAGGAACTTTAAAACTTTAAAATGGTCAAAGGCCATTCTTCAATTATGGCTTCAATTTTAGGCTATTCTTATGTATTTCCCCTCGACCACTTCAGCACATGGTAAAGGTAATCCCATGTCGAAGGCTATTATACGTGAAATTGAAAACTGCGTTTCCTTAATCTGTAGTTGTATGTATATATATTTGAATTGCAAGTTGAAGAGACATTTTTTTTGCTAAAAAGAAATCTGCTTACTATGATTTGAAATGTCATTACAGTTTCATTTTTTAAGACAATAACAATTTGGTTCTTTTTATGAACTTAAGCAACCTTTTGAAATTACTTTGTAAGAAATGTGTATTCCAGGTTCATATTGTATGTTATGAATTGAAGCATCATTTTTGAAGTTACTTTGAAAAAAAAAAGTTTGAATAACATAGTTATTGTCATCTTTGATGAACAAAAGAATAGACAGTTTGACATTGGATAAAACTAGTACGGGCATCCTTGGTGGGAGAATCAAAAATAGGAAAGGGAATTTTATCACAACAGAATTTGGGAACTAAATTTTAAGTGTCATGGTAAGGAAGAACATGGGAATTTAAGGCTAAAGATCTGATTCCAGTGGAAACCTGAAGGGAAGTCTAGTGGGGAATGTAATGCTAAAGATCTTATTCCAGATTTGTCATGTATGTTGCAACGAGTTGCTCAAATAATAGAAGAAAAAGATGTGGAGATATCCATCAACATAGATGTTCGAAAGGGAAAAGCAGCTACTAAGGATAATGGGAAAGGAAAGGGAAAAGTTATGTGAATATGTTCCAAACATGTGAACGAGTTAAAAGAATTTTGTTGTACTTGTCGAACTTCATGTTTATGTAATCGACAATAAAGATGTTGTCAATTATGTTTGTAGTGCGTTTGTTGGCCTTCGGTTTAGTAGTTGAATTTGCTTGTAATGAAGCTTTTATTTATGTAAACATTGTGCCAAATGTGATGTTGGATTTATTGTAAGGAGTCTAAGAAATTATCCAGTGACAAGAAGGAACCTTAAATTGTAACAAAAGTTGTAATTTTCTTTATTCTAAAGCTTGATTTTAGTTGATGTATAATACATCTCTTACCACCTACTAGTTTTTTGATCGGTAGGCATTTGGAATGTTT